CCTTAGCTTCTGCCACAGAACCGAACACCGACCTTCATGCGTTTAGGTAGTTTGCGCTATGAAGTAACAGCTGCAAGTTAGAGTTACCTGTTCTATCGGCCTCTGTGGCGAGTAAACTGAGTTCTTGCTTCGTCATTGAAATCCAGTTGAGGCTGAACCTCATAGCTCCCCAGAGCTGTACTGCAGCCGAGGCTTCATTGAGCTCTACAATGGGCACAGCTGATAAATATGCACAGTGGAAACATGAGCACATGTATCGCCTCGCACTATATCGCACCCATTATAAAACCCTACAATTACGTACTGGCTACTTCACCGTATAGACTTTGCGCGCCACGCTGCACAAAGCACTCGCCCACCGCGCGCGACAAGATCGCGAAATGGGAAGTGGTTGTTAGTCCGCGTTCATAATGAATGTTCAGGAGATCAGGAAATAAGGAGATTCATAATAGTTTCAGCCGAAGAAGATTTGACATGTATCGATTGGCCAGGAAGGGGATTACGAGTATAAATCCTACCAATGCATATCAATTTCTTCAGCTGGATCTCATCTTCTCCTGATCTTCTACTCTCCTTTTCTCCTAATCGATACGTGTTCCTCCCTTTATAATCTGATTTTTTAAACTCCCGAAATGTATATTATGAACATGGCCTTATAAGACCGCAGCGGACCACCGCGGTACCGCGTCGCGCGCGGCAGGCGGCAACTTTGCGCATCGTGCGATGCGAGCTACCTCCCAGGAAAAAGTAGATGTTGAAGGGTGTAACCAATGAAAAAAAAACAATAAACAAATTTTTTGACTATTCATTTGACAATAATCGCCAAAAAAACTTTGTACAACATATAGTGAATCTGTGGAATAATAATAATAAACCTGCGATCGAGCGAGCTGTGAGAGACATATCGAGAGAAACAATATAAAACAACTCACACATACACACACAATTAGTACAGTAAGCTATGAGAAAGAGCAACCACTGCGGCAACAGCTGCTAATTCTGAGATCAAATCGATAAATATGTAACTTCCACGCACGAGGTTTTCCGGAAAGGAAGCTGCTTACTCTATATAAATCATATAGATCACTTAATCAGCTTAAACTAGAACGATTTGGAAATAAAACGGAACATTTGCAGGTTGGGGACGGGGACGGGAATACGAGGGACGAACACCGGTGTCGAAGGAAGGAATCGCGGCGACAAGCGTCGCGCGCGGGAATCGTCGACGGCGACGATTCGCCGCCCGCGAACACACGTAAGCCAAGTGAAACATCACAAATACACGTATCACGTACGTCAAACGACGACGACTGGCACCATTGGAACGCGCGCGCGACACGACGCGACAATTCGCTCAGCGAGAAAGTTTGAAAGCTAGAGAAACTGGCGAAAAGTGGAAAACAAAGAAAACGCGAATTGTCTCGTCGAACGCGGGCGTTGATAGTAACCATCTGGAAAGCCTCAAATGGCGACTACAAATAGACTTTCTTCACTTTGTAGTCGCGCGGCAGCGTGTTCTGATTGATGGACGTCATGATCGCGTTCTTATCCCTCGACGGGGTGTTAACACCAGAACCGTGTTGACTCATCGTCATCGCCGGTGGCATCGTCAGCACGAGAGATGAGGCATCAACGCTCTGGAAATGACAATGATCATAGGAATTCCACTTTTAAAACTACAATATTTATATTTGCACTCAGAAGACGCCATGAATACACGCCATTTGAAGCATTTTTCATTGGTGCACTGTAGCACTGAATGGGGAGAAGCTCTGTGCTCTTGCTTTTTTTTACACAGAATTACGCCCTTTACCGGAGTATGCGTAGGAAACTACTGAAATTTCTGGACCTAAAAAGTTAGCTTCACTCGCGCATTAACTTAAAGGCATATATCGCGATTATATAAATGTGGCTACTCTCGAAAATAAAATTAGACTTGCAAAGTAGGCGTCAGTAAAGAAAAAATGATTAGTCAAAAACACTGAACATAGAGGTCTTGCAGTCGTGGTCGAGTCCACAACACTACGAGAAATTCTTAGAAACATTGGGAGCCAAAACCAGAAACGGCTCGGTGACGAGAGAGCATAGCGGGCAATAGAGACGCAAACATTGACACGTTCCTCTTCGCAGGGAGCACGGATTGACGCTTAAGCTGCATTGATGCAGGTCATAAACCCTGGCGTCAGGGTCAACCGTGCGTTCGCAGAATTCGAACGAGGGGATCGCATTTGTGGTTGGTTTTGGTGAGGAGGGGGGTCGCATTCAG